CAGGACAAAGCCAGAGGTCAGTGTTAACTGAAGAGAGGGGCTAAGGAAGATGGGGGGAAAGTCACAGACAACGTGAAAGACTATATAACTCTCAACTGCTTTGGCAAACAGGAGCCTTGACTTTTGGATAATCTAGACAAAACCAATTTCTGTTGGCTTCCATTTAAGAGAATAGATGCTTCCTAAAGTGACCAGCTGTTGCTTAGGTTTAAGTTGGAATGCAATGACATCATTTAACCCTGTGAGCTTTCAACAGTGCAATCTATGTCCCATGGTAGATGGACATAGAGCTATGAGGAATATGCAGGGTCATCATCCTGGATGATGGCTTTATTTAAATTTTTGTATTTTGCCCACTTTATCAGAAGTCTAAGGAGCTTTATGGCAATGTACTCTTCCAACTCAAAAAAGGGGAAATGTAGACCATCTGAGGCTAATGAATATCATCAGAGAATAAATAAGCCAGGAAGACTACACATGATGGGACTGGGAGTTCTTATAAACTATTTTGTTGGAAGTAACATCTTGGTGAATTTTCCACAGGTTGGGGAGCATTCTAGTGCTGCATCCTTGGGGACCTTTTGTGACTCTCTTATTGCATCAGCGTAATGATAACAGCCAGAGACACATGGCAATCGCATTCTGAGGTTCACAGCCCTTTTAGAATTCCCAGAGACAGGGTCTGTTGAATCACCTCTCACAGGGTACAATTTGACTCCTAGAAATGGTTTTAGCATTTTTATTTCCTCCAACTTTCCCCTGGCTGCCCTGTTGTTATTGTTGGGCGTTTTGAAAATGAAAAACAATGTGGTTGGAGAAAAGGTCTACAGTGTGTTTKTGTCCATGAGAATAAACATGGAATCACTAGATATAATGCATGGTGACTCATGATTTGTGTCATTTATCTTCACTTGTGAGGAGAGGTGGGATAAGTCACTCATGACTGTGCCAGTCCTGATCCATCCTTTATCATTACACTCATGAAGACAAATGCCACATTCAAAGGTTCACAGCTATCATGTCCTTTCAGACCAGAGATTCTGATCAGAGAGAGCCGAAGGTTGACCTGGTGCTGTTACTTAAAAATCGAGAACACTTTGCACATACCATCTTCTATCCCACCAACCTTGAACTTCTATCTCAAATTAACACATGACTAGATAGAGACGAGACCACTGGATAGCACTTATAATTTCATCTATGTCTATAGATGCTCACTTTATTTTAATTTTAAAATATCTAGTTCCTAGTAAATGCCAAGCATACAGCTCTKCAGTGGCAATGTACTGATTAACAGGAGAGTGTTCTAGTCATCACAGTGATAGTGGTATAATGAAGAGAATGCTGTGGGAAAAGTAATAAGTGGTTAATTTTTTTCTGTGAGCAAGTCAGATGTGATATGAAAGGAGAAAGTCCGAATAGAACTGTTGAAAAATGATATTATTTGAGCTGATATATTAGAGAAAACAGTATGGACACCTTAGCTTTCTACAATAAATAGATGGTGGTACTATTGGATTTTTAAAATAATGGAAGAGCAAATGAAATGCTTTCTCTTTTCTGAGCTTCTGGACCTTGCTACAGGTAATTAAAAGATAATTTTTTTTTTATAATTTAGTAACTGAATGCATTTATTCTGGTTTTGCTTTCAATTATCTTTCTATGAATTGAAACACTTTAGAAATTAAACTATCCTTTGAAATCAAAGTATTTCCTTTTCCCTTGGTTGCTACATAAAAGTTCACATAAGCAGAAGTAAACTGAAATATTTCTACAAGTTTGAGAAAGTTGATTGACAAACTAGGCATTTCTAAAGATATTTCTGTCTTTGAAAATTTAGTTTGAACCATAACAAACTTATGTGTGTGTGTGTGTTTTATGTGTGTATTTATTTATTTWTTTACTTAAAAATGTARTTTTATAAGTTTCTCTCTAATCAGCAATGTGGTATGAATGATTTGTGTATTTCAAATTCAGGGTGTTTTCAGTTTTGCCCCCTTCTCTATAAAAGTATTTCATCAAATAAGCTATTTCATTTACTATTCAAGAAACATTTGTTGAACACATACTACATTGCAGTCTCTGGGCACATCAAAAATATGGCATATCCTGATAGGACATATTGCCTAATGAGGAAGAAAGACACATGAGCAGGCAAGAGCAGTAGATGAATGCTCAATAAATATTCTTTCTCTTCTTCTCACATTGGAAGAACCATGGGTTATGTTAAGGAACACAAAGGTGTAAATTCCTACAAATTTAGAGAATCTTGGAAGGATTCATGGCATAAGTACCTCCTTCCCTCTTTTAACATGTTCATGTTGAAAGATGATGTAAAGAACAATAAAGGGTTGCAGAATGAAAAGGGACAGGGGTGGTTTTATCTTATGTACAATAGCTACATAAGGACTCTCCGAGAAGGTATAATTTAGGAGAGTCTTAGATGAAGTGAAGAAGGAAAGTACACAGGTTATTTGGATGAAAGATAGCACTATTGTCATGAAACCTATGAATAGCTATAGGCCCATCTGGGTGAAGAATATTCCAGGCAGAAACATCCATCTAGTGTAAGGTGCCTGAGGAAGGTTGGTGTGTTGGAGAAACATCAAGGGGCAGTATGACCAAAATGGAGTAAAAGCAGTATGTTCAGAGAATGATATCAGAGGAGTGGTTGGAGGAAGAACAAAAATATGCATGGTCTCATAGGCCACTAAAAGTACTATGGATTACTTTGAGTGATATGAATAGCCTGGGAACATTGAGCAGAAGAAAAATATAATCTGACTTGTTTTGAAAGGATCCCACCACAGTTTGGAGAAAAGATTGAAGAGAAGCAAGGATAGAAGCAAGGAGAAAGATACTGGACCAGGCTATGATATAGTCCAACTATCCAAAGAAAAAATTCAGGAGGTAGTAATGGAGCTATATAGATATGACCAGAATCTTTATATTTGGAATTTCCATTGTGCATTTGTTAAGTATAAAGTTGATAAGGTATAGAGATGATAGGATGTAAAGGTGAGACAAATGAGATTGGAARAAAGTTACAAGGGCGATTTTGACCTGTGTTCTTAGGAGAATGGTCCCCCAAATAGTGTTTAGCACATGATAGGAGATTAAAATGTGTCTGTTGAAGCGCTCAGGAATGAATTGGCCAAATTATATTGTTATATTGTGTGCACGTATGAATATATGACAATGAATCCCATCATTATGTACAGCTATAATGCACCAATAAAATATGTGGAAATCATTCTCTTGTACAAGTGAATAAATGGAATTGTAGAAAATGTCTTTGTGAGCATGTAATTGAGTTGGAATCAAGAGGTTTTTTTTTTTTTTTTTTTTGGAGAGGTTAATTTTCAATTCTTCCAAGTATAGGTCTTCCATAAGCAGTTATGTACCTGTCTACAAGCCTGCTGGACTTTGAGTCTGTCAGTACTCAATTTGTAGATGGTCATCATAGATCTCCCTAGAGAATAAGTATAGATGAAGAAGAGGTAGAACCAGCAATAGAGGTTGAGCAGAGCAGACACTCTGCTGAAGGAGGCAAAATATTAGAGTAGTTCCCAGGAACCAAGTAGAAGGCGCTTTTCAGAAAGTTCAGAAAGCTACTGTGTGAGATGCTCCTAAGTTTTGCCTAAAATGAGAATTGAGAATTAGTTGCTTGATTTAGCAATGAACATAATTCTTTCACTGTCACCTTTTCTTTGTTACCTCTATGCATACTGTTACCTATGGCCTTCCCGGATATTCTTTTGAATCCCAGGCTCATCAAATTGTAACTTATATTTCACATGTGGCACTGAAAGGTAGTTAAATTTTTTTGAGACTATGAGATTGGGAGAACATTTTTATAGGTTTGAGTTAGGTTTTAAAGCTATTGACAGAAAATCAATAGATACTCTAAAATATATTTTAATCATATTTAGTTTTACTTGATTAATAATATTCACCCATAATGCATTGAGGTTTGAAAAGCACTTCATTTTCATATTTTATATCCCAGTAGAACCACCTGCCTTGCTAAAATACCAAACTTTGACGCTTGTACCCTTAGACTGTCCCTGTCTCCAGTACCTTCTTCCTGCAACCAACTACAGATCCACATTTCACCCTTCCTCATTCTTTAAAGATTTTTAACACCTACTTCTTGTTTTCTCCAGTCCCACTCCTGATAGAATTCTTGGTGATTTCGGTATTCACTTCCATCTCTTGATCCTGATTACAGATTGTGTGGGATCGTTCCATCTGCTGTTGCTCAGGATTTCCCCTGTGTAACGTCTGCAACAACAGTATTTTTAAGCTCGGGGATATAAAATTCTGTAACCGTGGGAAGTAAAGAATATTTCTTTTATTTCATTACGCTTTTCAAAATCCAGATTCTGTCTTCTTGTTTCCCTTTGCTCAAAGTTCTAGGTGGCCCTCAATCTTAGATTTTAATTTTTTATCCTGCTAGTGATCCCAGAGTAGGGGGAGGGGAGGAAAAAGGAAAGATTATATATTAAGTATCTCTCTTCCTTTTGTATGTGGGGAAAAAATATCCTAAATGGAGTTTCCAGCAGATGCCTATGTCAAACTCAGAACATCTCATCTGACTTTAATAATTGAGTATTCTGTTTAATTATTTCCTATTCCTCTTTATAAAACAGTGTTTGATTTGGTCTTACGAGGTAGTTCTGATTAGGACACGGGATCAGAAATAAAATGTACTTTCATAAGGTCATGAATCTAATAAGTAAGAACCAAGTGTAGACTCCAGATCTTTTGACTTCAAGTGCATTTTTTTTATTGGCATTAAAAAATGCATTGTTCAAAATGGCCAGTGGTTGAAATAGCTGCCTTGGCTTCCTTCCCAGAACAGTGTTAAAATACAGTGGTGATTCAATAAATATTGTCACCAGTGGTGTCTGTGGTGGTGGTGGTGGTGGCGGTGGTGGCAGATCAAGAAGTGTGCTGAATTATTCTAATGGATACTTTTTTTTTTTTTTTTTTTTTAGATTGGCAAAGACATTGCCTATTTGCAGCACAGAGACCCCAATGGAGAGCTAGGTGGGTGATGATTCATGCTAAATCGTTCCCACAATATGCTGAACACTACAACAGCAGCTAATGTGAAGTGGCTCATTATACACTGTCAAATCCGATAACAACAACGACTGGCTTTGCTAGCATGAGCAATTTGTGGGAAGTCCAGCCACTGCAAACCACTACTGAACTTCAAAAGATAAGCTGTAATATAGCAAGAAAAACATATCCACTGAGTCATATTTGCAAATTTCTTGTGTGTGTCTCTTTGCCAATTTAGAAATTGCTTTCATGTTCCCAGCTTGACTCCAGAAATGACTCTCCTTGGGATTTACTTCTCTTGTGCCTCTTCCTTCAGTCATTTCTATGGGCCCAAGATTCTATAAGGCTACTGGAGCACATGGAAACAACTGAAAATGTCATTATTTTATGGGACTATTCCTGAAGCTCCCTTCTTCGCCCACCCTCCACCAACCAGCAGATGCCATACACATATACCCATTTACCTTGGGCTGTAGAACAGCATCCTTGGTGGTAATATTACCTACAGGAAAATAAGATCCAGTAGGTGGCTGGCAAGAATGACTCTTTGCCTGATGATTTATGATTATGTGTCTTTTTGTATCCATTAAATGGTAATCTCCTTGAAAGTTCTGCATTTCCATATTTACATTTACCTATCTAGTGCCTATGAGCCATAGTTGGCTCTCCCTATTAATGTGTTCCCTTCCTGAAAGTCCACCCTTAGGGAAGGAACTTGGATTAATCTTCTTGCCTTTCCTGTCCCTAGCACAGTGCCTGACACATAGTAGGTGGAAAACGACATGTCTGTTCAGTGAACTAATGAAGATATGAATGACTATCAATCCGATGGTTCTCCGAGGCTAAATTAAAGGCTAAGTGAACGATTTCCCAACCATCAGAGACAGAAAAGTAATGGCTTCAAATCTTTTTTCTTCAGGCTACAAGGAATAATGCCCTAAAAAAGTGGCTGTTTATTTTGGAAGGCAAGAACAAATCTGAAGCTATTTTCTTTATTTTTATATTCAAATGCCTATAAAACAGAAAAGCACCGGAGACCTATTCATTGCTCACAAATGATCTATGGGGTAATAATGTGCTTGCTTTTCCAGCTGTGCTGCACTTTGGTGCTATCTTGGGTTTAATTGAAAATATGCTGTGACCTTGGTTTTGTTCACTGGGCAAAGGGGGTTATAATTGGCATGAAGCCTCTAAAGAACTCCCTTTTAAACGAATGTCATTTTGCTAATTTGGGGTTCGCCTGAGGGAAGTAATTTGTGAAGTCCTGTAAAAACAAGATGCATTTTAATCGCATGCCATTCACAAGAAGTTAATGCTTTTTTTAAAAAAAAAAAAAAATCAGCCTTTTAGTTTTCAATACCTATTTGTTGAATCCTAAATGCTATCAGTATGATAATAGTATTGTCCCTAACAGTCTCATGTTTCATCATAATTAAATAAACAGCTTGTGAATTGCAGTCCAAAAAATGTCTGTGCTCCACTCTTAACTTAAGGGGTTTCCATAGAAACCGCAGGCAGCAAGTTTAACTGACATTTATCGGACTTGAGGCTATATGCAGCATTGATATCTCTCTGTTTTTCTCTCTGTCACTTTGTATATGTGTCTTCTTTTCTTCCTTTAACCTTCCCAAACCTCATCCCCCTCAGCAAATCCTCTACCTCCTCCTCTATTTCCTCCTCCTCCTTTTTCTCTTATTAGCATTGAGGAAGTAATTTGGACTCAGTTAGATTTAACAAATGCAATAATACTAAAATGGGGCCTGATACTTAAGTGTAATTGTGTTATTAGCTGGAAATGTTTTTTCTCAAAAATAAAAGAATTGGGAGTGAAGTATACCAAGGTAGCACATGTTGGTAAGAAGGAACCTTTCACTGCCAGTTGAAAGTTTGCCATCTACATATTAGGGCCACCTTCGTCCCCAGGTATGGCTTTTCCTTGATTTATTCAGCACAGAATGATATTCCTCCTCAGCCCTAGTGTTCAGACTTGAGCATAACATCTTCCTTCTGGTCATGTTCCAGAAGTATGAAGAAACTGATTTAGGAAAGACAAAATATACTATGTAGATAGTACCTACTGTGCACCAGGTTTTTTGCTGGGTACATTCACTTAGATTGTCTTAATCCTTCACACTTCACAGCCAGGTATTATATAGAAGAAAATCAATCTGAAGCTGCTGGTCTAMCCCAGGCTGGCTCTGAATCCTGGAGAAGGTCTTAAATGTTCTTTCTTGGTTTCTCCAAGGCAAAGTGAATGTGAGTACTTCTAAGCAATGGGTTTTGTTAAGATTGAAGATGGCACTGCAGCTAGTACATCACAGTAGTAGTATTTCTCTTRGTGCCTTTAGAAATGAGTTGCTGAAAGAATAAGTCATTGATGCGAAGCGTACAGAGCTAGTAGAAAGCAATCTATGTAGCACCATGGTTAAAGCTGGGGAAGGGAGGCAGCAGGGAGGGTTAGACAGACCCAGGCTCAGTTACAATCTGAGTGATTTGAGGTAAGTGACAAACTCAGCATCTGGTTTCTCATCTGTATACCAGAATAATGGCTTTTACTCCATGAGTTTATGAGGAATAAATAAACTTGTATATGTAAGTTACTCAGAGTCTCTACCACATAGAAAGCACACTGTTTTTTTTTTTTTTCCTCTGTGTCTCCCACTTCCCCACATTTCTGATTTTCTATTACTATGGAATCAAAGTAAAATAAAATCAGTCTTCCAACTCTATCTAATACCCATAGTTGAAAATTATCTGAAAATTCATAAACTCAAGTTTTCCTGAGAGCAATGAGAAAGTGATAACATCATACCCATTGTATAGGTTACAAAAAATAGAACTTGGGAGTTGCTAATGACAAGATCTCAATACAGCGAGTGTGGAGGCTGAGCTTACCTGATTCCCCAGAGTCCTTTTTATAATTAAAATTCTCAAGTCCGTTATTCTTAATCTGGGTCCTCTGTTTACCAGTTTAAGGAATTAACTCCTCTTTCTAAAACACGGGAGAGGAAGGAAGACTGGTGGGCAAGAAGAGAAGCAGGCAAGGAGAGGTTTTTCCAAAATCTCTCTTCACAGGGCWGTGTTCAGATCCTTCTCCCAGGATCCAAAGGAACATGTGGAAAGGAAGTGCTCAGTCCCAGGGGTAGATGAGATAATGACTTTGCAGCAATATACCCAAGTGTTGCTGCTTGGAGAAAAGGGGTGATGTGGAGAGAAAAATATCAAAAAGAATCCAGGAGTAAGTCAGAGATGTTGTTGGATACCTAGTGAATCAGAAGAGAAAGTGATGGAGTTTAGCTAGGACTAGACTCTGAGAGGCTATAACTGCTGGTGAGAGTGATTTTTCCACATAGATGCACACTCTTCACTGGCATGCATGTGCACACACACACACACACACACATACACACAAACAGGATTAATAAGAATGAATGTCTCTTTAAAATTTAACCCCTTTTCAACTTCAAGGAGCTCATATTGGAGATAAAATATGGCTCCACTTTTTTTTCTGTCCAGGGGCCTATTCTTACCTTATTAGGGCATTTATTCTCTATTGTTTTTGAAAAAAACATTTTAATCCACTTTGTCTGCTTTGTGTTAGTTTAGTTAAAGCTAAATAATAGAATGCATAGAGTCACCCTAGCCAACCATACAGACCCAGCAGTATGTCATAACAGGTAGTAAGCATATGAGTAAGCATGAACACCACAGGAAGCCACTCTTTTGCCCAGGATTCCTCACATATCTTATGTGACACATGGCGTCACTTCCACACCAGCGAAGCTTACTTCCTTTATTATTTCTTAGATGATGGTTAATTATAAGTAGATATCCCAGTATTTTTCTTCCATTCCCAAACAGGTCATCTTTCTTGGCARCCTTGAGGTTGAAAGGAGTAGATCAGAAAAAGATGTTCTTGTGCTGAAGGAAAAGTTCAAATTTGTTTCATCGAGTGACTGTTAGTAAACGTTTCAGGCTATGTAATCCTATTATCCATGAGAATTACTCTGAACTTCAGTATGAAAGCACCCCATGGACAATACATACACAAGCTCTCATAGAATCATCTAATAAAACTTTGTTTACAAAAAAAAAAAAATGTTGAGCTAGATTTTGCCTGTAGACCAGAGTTTCCCAAACACTGATCCCAGAGTTTTGTTTACATCCCCATCCCACGTCTAGCTTCTGTTGGCATGGTACTTACAGTTTGAAAAGCAGGAATGGAAAGTGTAGGAGTGACAACCTTACCACAATTTACCCTTGTTTTGTAGAGTTTACTTTTTTCCCAAGTGTTTTCAACATTAACCTTTATCTCTCTCCTATGCCTTCGGCATACAAAGGACACATATTCTGTCTTCACTTGACAGAATGGTATAGTACATTTAAGTGACTTACATTATTGTCACCCTGCAACTGTAATTAATATCCCTATTGGAATCAGGCTGTCAGTCTTGTGCTTTTTCAGTTGAATTGTTCTTTATAAAATGTATCCTTTAGAGAACAAAGACAGATGGTGGGAGAAGAAACCCAAAAGGAATCTTCATCATTCAAACCAAGGAAAAAGTAGGTTAAGTACTAATGGCCTAAATAGGGGCATATTCAGGTTTCCCTGTTTCTCATCACTTTAACATACCTTGGGGGACCAGGTTCCTTATTGCTTTTCATATATATGTCTCATTTTCCCCCCATGGAATATTTTTGCAAATTATACCTTGTAGGCAAAATGAATACAGGAACATACAGGGAGTTTTTACTTTGCATAGTACTATGTTAACTGGTTTGTTAATATTGGAACAGCAGTCATCATTTTGCAAGGTTCCACGGTAACTAGAGCAAATACAGAGACTGCAAAAAGATGACTTTTTCCAATATGCATGACCTATGGTTAACATGGCACCAAGCAAAATGAGGACTGCCTTATGTAAATAAATAAGAATCCAATTTCCAAATGTCTGCATTTGCTGAATAATTCCCTCTTTTGT